ATTACATTTCTCCGATTTGAATAGAGACTTTTCCAGAATCGATCGTTAGCGAATGTTTCAGATACCTTGTCTTGACTATTAGTTTTCAATTATCGCAGGTTCCTTATGTTTCAAAGAGAAATGCTGAGAATGTGTGATTATGCAGAGTTATTTAAGATCTCATTTGGTAGTAAATATCGATTTCAGGCATGACATCATCACGTTCAAGTATACAGAATATTGTTTTTTATCTGTAGATGAGAGCTGACAAGGACAAGCCGCTGTTTTTGAGGAGACATTGCAATTACTGCAGTTATTTGCAGCAATTTAGGAAACGTTCCTACATATTTAGGAAGACCTTCCTACAATTTATGTTTAGGAAAGGCTTCCTAAATATATAAGAAAGCTTCATGAAAATGTTTTAAATGACGTTTCTATAATGCAATGGTATGAAACTGATGTTGTATATTGGAAATTTTTATAGAATCAACTGCAAAGAAAATGTTATTTTTTACATGTATATCAAACACCAAATTCTCTTATTGACTATTTAGGAAGACCATTTTAAATATATATGAACCATTTATAAAGTAGGAAGGTTTCTTGAATATTTCAGAATACCATCCTAAAACGTATACGAATTATTTGATCATCTAAAAATTTAGAACTATTCAAGTGAACATAAAAATGATTTGCAACAACAAACATGTCTAAGAATTCAAGAGTACTTTGATAACATAGATAACAACACAAACATCTCAATTCATTCTAAAACATGTTATTGGAACTTATGTGTCTATATATACAACAAATAAAATTTAGAAAGTCATCATATATAGTTAGGAAGACATTCCTAAAAGATTTAAATAATAACTTTTATTTCTATTTATACAACAACTGAAATTTTAGAAGCCATCATATACATATAGGAAGGCATACATGTACAAATAATAACCTTTGTGACTGTTTATACAACTACTTAATTTTAGGAAGTTATCATTTACATTTAGGAAGAAATTCTTAAAAGGTAAATTTCTCTTCTTCTCAATCACACTCGTATATGATTCCATCAGAACATACATACTTCCCCTTCCCATGAGGAAGTGTTCCTTTGAGTTGACCAGACTAAGCAAAACCATTTGAGAATTCCCTCTCCAGGCCTGAGGAAAGACAAAGTACACTATTGATCTAAGACTTGAGGAAACAAAACAATCACATATAAATGCATTTAGGTTTATGAAAACAATTCAAGAAGACATTCCTAAATTTTTATGAATTAACAAATACAACCCTAGACTAAAATCAAACATGCTCTAACACCCAATATCCCACAATGCGGCCATCGGAACCTACAAATTTACCAGTTCGACGAAATTTAACCATTTCCTCGCTCTCTGACAAAAAAAAAATAATACCCAATCCAACGAAAATCAATTACCAATCAGAAGAACTTACCCTAACTGATGCGCGATGCTTGTTCTTCTGCTCTAAGACCGTTATTGTAATCCCACTCAAATGCTTCAAGAAAATCGATGAAGTTTTCTCTGAGAAAATCATATTAGGTTTTACGAAAGTCTGAAGGAGAAAATAGATTAGAGCGTGTTATCTGAGTTTGATGAAGACTATAGTTGTTCCCTTCCAAATGAAGGGCTATATTAGAGAAACTTTAGTTTTTGGGGCTATTTTAGAGAATTTCCCTACTCTTTACTTTTTTCACTTTATCTTTAAATTCAGTTTTCATTGGTATTTTCTTTTTATCTCATCAATTTCTCTCAGTTAAAATTTTAAAGAAAAAGAATTTCAGTGAACAAATTACTCATCGATTTGAATCACCGAGTATGACAAAGAAAAATCACCAAATGTGTCCAATGAACAAATTACTTTTCCCAAATACAAAAGTGTTTAATTACTTACTTTTTCTAGTAATGTTTGTATATCTTAGTATGTCAACAATTATTGAAACTAAATTTGCTCTTGGTTATTATTCTATTTCAATAATGGATGCAGAAACCAGTATTTGTTTCTGCTTTTGGATGCAATATTGTCAATGTTGTTTATTTAGCCAATTAATTTTAATATTTGTGTTTAGATACGCAAAATTATTCGTATGAAAAAAAAATCTTGATATATTATATGCAAGACTGTGATATTGTGTTTATGTAGACTTTCAACTTCAAGTGGAAATACAGAAATCAAAACTTGCGATGGAGAATCATGTATTAATTATGTTACATAATACTCCAATTTTTGGTACAAGTGAACGGAGATCCACACAGAGGAAAAATATTTCGAGCTCTTAGCAACTTATATCAATGAATTTGACACTTCACAAATAGTTTTATTTTAAGGTTTTGTTTATGTATATTGATCAGAAAGGAAAAAAAACTATTGTGTATAATAATGTAGAACTTTTATTAATTTTTGTAATATATGTAAAATATGCAAAAATAACATTATTTGTGAAACAAAAGAGGCATATTAATAAAATTTATCACAACCATAATTAACAACAATAGAATTATATTACATACATATAAAATAAAATTCACCAAAAAATAATGATATTTGGGAAATAGGTTTAGGATTTAGGGTTAAGGGTTTTAGAGACTATCAACGAATACATAATATTATTGTTTTAAAGATTTTTTAAAGTAAAATTATTTAGAGATCATTTTTTGGGTACATAAGGTAAATTTTTCTACGCACAAATTAACAACATTTCTATAAAGGTATATATGGTCGGAAATGAAAAAAAATGATAAAAAGGGAGAACTGGAAGAGAAAAAAGAATATAATTGTATTCAATAATATCTTTGTTATGCATTTAAGTTTATAATCTTCTGTTCACATTCATAACACTTAATTCCTCTAAAATATTTTGTTAAAATAGAATAGTCAACATGGCAAAAATCATAAGGATAGTGAAAGATTGACAGAGTATTTACATAAAATCTAAAATACTTTTATTATATGGAAAAAAATCCATGTCATTTCATAGTTTTGACTGAGTGCCAAATGCTCTGCATTGATTTTAAAGAAATGCCCTATAGTAAAATTCTTCCAATAAATCTCCTTTTGAATAGATATTACCTTATGAATTGCTGCTCTATTCTACGTTTTATTTAGTTTCTCTATAAGGTCAAGACTCAAGACCAACAAACACATCGATTCATAGCTATAAAGAATGATAGTGTTTTGCTTCTTATTTGGAAAATTGTGAAACAAAGAGAATGAACAAAATGATTGATTGGTATATGTTACCGAAGGAGGTACTCTTGATGATTGCCGTCCGTTTGTATGCTGACCTCGAACTCCTCCATTTCCGTAGCACCTGTAAATCTTGGCGCTCCTCCATTTCTGTTATGATGACAATCCTTTGCCAAGCCGCCCTCTCATCCACCTTAACCCCCTCGTCGCAACTTTGGTTATTAAAACCTAAGTAGATGGAGAGTTATTGATGATAAAGGGCATGACAGAACAAGAAGCTGCTGCAGCCGCTTCAAGAGCAGTGGCGGAAGCAGAATTTGCAATCGCCAAAGCTGAAGAAGCATCAAGAGTGGCAGAGGAAGCAGAAACTGCCTTCATTTTTGCAAAAGCGGCAAAGAAAGCTTTAAAGTTTTTGATGCGTAGCCAAAGTCTTTTTATTGGTTAGTAGCAGTGTTTGCAGCTTATAACGTGCCCTAACTCAGACAAATATGTAAAACCTTTTTCCATTTTTCTGTTTTGTTAGTAGCATCACAAAACACAAAAGGATATCCAACAAAAACACAAACACTGTTTTTCCATTTTTCTAGATCGTAAACTCTCATCCCTTTTTACCAAAGGGATATCCAACAAAAACACAAAGGCGACTATGTTCTCCAAATTTGTCTTTGCCGCGAGTAACACGATGATTATAACAAGCTGATCCAAACACACGTAGTTGAGTATAATCCAATAAATCTCATACGGTGAACACCCTTGATGTAGGGCTGTAGGTATATGATTTATCAGTAAGTGGCTGTGAAATTGCTTCACCCCAAAATTTGGTTGGCAAACTAACCTGAAACATTAATGCTCAGCGACGTTAAGGATGTGTCTGTGCTTTCGTTCAACTCTACCATTCTCTTGTGGAGTCGCAAAGCAAGAGGTTTGATGGACAATCCCATGTGCTCGAAAATAAGATGAAAGACACAAGAACCGGGTCCCGTTATCACTCAGAACCATTTTGACTGATTTTCCAAATTTTTTTTCCGGATATGCTAAGAAATTCACCAAAACAGTGCGAACTTCTGATTTTTCAAGAAGGAGATACGTCCCAATAGCGCGAGAAAAATCATCAACAATAGTCAAACAATAAACGGCTCCACACGAAGAAGGGATGCAGTAAAGGCCCCAAACATCACAATGTGTTTAAGAAAAACATTTCATTGTTTTATTAATACTAACTGAAAAAAATTCTCTGGTTTGTTTAGCCCAAAAACATATGTCGCAAGACTTGGAGCTAACAGAAACAGGAGAACTAGAACACATAGGTAAGCTGGAAGTACTGAAAAACTAGGATGCCCCAAATATTGGTGCCACAAAGTGTGATCGGAAGCAGCCTTAACTGTGTGAATACTCGCGGTAGCAACATTCGTTAAGTAATATACCCCATCTCGCTCTTCACCTGTTCCAATCAGAATCCTCGAAAAATGGTCCTGCAAGATACAAATAGTATCAGTAAACATAGCAAAACAATTTGTTTGCTTCAGAATCTTAGAGATGGAAATCAGTGTGCAATTCAACGAAAGCACATAAAGGACATTTGTCAATGAGACTTTTTCCGAAAGAGGAAACACTCCCATACTCAAGGCAAACGTTTTACATCCGTCTGCAAGAACATGGTCGAATAGACAATAAGTTTGTCAAACAAGACAACTTTCCAGTCATATGATATGAGGCTCTCGTGTCAAGAATCACATCGCCAAATTTGGTTTTACCAGATAACTTTTCGGAGCTACTAGCGCCTGATTTTCTTGAATCATCTGAGTAAGTACTTTCTATTGCTCAGCTGTGAACTCCGGAAAAGGAGAAGCATTCGAACTTGTAGCATGTGCAATAGTGGCTTGTCCTCTTCCTTGACCGGTGTAACGACCACCACCACGGCTCTGAGAACCCGAACCACAACCACTTCCTTTAGCACCTCTCTTCGTGTACCACTCAAGGAAACCCACTATTTTCCAGCACTCTTTCTTCTCATGCCCAGAACGTCCACACTGCGAGCAGAGCAATCGAGATTTCAGGATGGTGCTGTATGAACTTGATGCTGAATCACCTCCACGAGAATCAATTTGGCGAGTCACAAACCCCATTACAATATTCATAAAGAATCCTAAAAATATTAGAGTTTTGAAGATATTTTGAAGATAAGACTTTTTATTAATATTATTAATTTTGAAGATATTTTAAAATAAGACTTTTTCTCGACTGTTTTTTTATTTGGTACATAAGGTATGATATTTTTTTTTTTTGCACAACATACATTTCTATAAAGATTTATATGGTCGTAAAGGAAAAAAATGATAAAAAGGGAGAATTGGATGAGATATTGTATTCAACTAATTAAAATAATATCTTTGTTACGCATTTAATTTTATAATCTTCTGTTCACATTCATTGAATTTAATTCTACTAAAATATTTGTTAAAATAGAATAGTCAACATGGCAAATCATAACTTTTTTTTCAAGAGTAGGATAGTGAAAGACTGACAGAGTATTTACATAAAATCTAAAATATTTTTATTATATGGAAAAAAATCCATGTCATTTCATAGTTTTGACTAAGTGCCAAATGCTTTGCATTGATTTTAAAGAAATGCCTTATAATAAGATTCTTCCCATAAATCTCCTTTTGAATATATATATTATTTTATGAATTGCTGCTCTATTCAACGTTTTATTTAATTTCTCTAAAAGGTCAAGACTCAAGACCAACAAACACATCAATTCATAGCTATAAAGAATGATAGCGTTTTACTTCTTATGTGAAAAATTGTGAAACAAAGAGAATGAACAAAATAATTGATTGGTCTATGTTACCGAAGGAGGTACTCTTGATGATTGCCGTCCGTTTATATTCTGACCTCGAACTCCTCCATTTCCGTAGCACCTGTAAATCTTGGTGCTCCTCCATTTCTGTTGCTGATGACAATCCTTTGCCAAGCCGCCCTCTCATAACGGACATGACAGAACAAGAAGCTGCTGCAGCCGCTGCAAGAGCAGTGGCGGAAGCAGAATTTGCAATCGCCAAAGCTGAAGAAGCGGCAAGAGTTGCAGAGGAAGCAGAAGCCAAAGCTGAAGCTGCCTTCATTTTTGCAAAAGCGGCAAAGAAAGCTTTAAAGTTTATGATGCGTAGCCAAACTCGATAAGGATTAAGAGCTCGTTTGATTGTGTAAGCTAATTAGTTCTTCTCAATAAAACAGAAGGCAAATCACTTTTAATACTTATATATATCCTCATGTTTGCAGATAGTGAGGCCTCACAATGTCAAGTTTTAACCTTGCATCGTAAGAGTCATATAATCGCTAAAGTCTTTTTATTGGTTAGTAGCAGTGTTTGCAGCTTGTAACGTGTCCTAATTCAGACAAATATGTAAAACCTTTTTCCATTTTTCAGTTTTATCTGTTTTGTTAGTAGCATCACAGGTTTCTCGTGACCCATTCATAAACTGGTTTGAAGAGAAATAAATAAAGCCTTTGATCATACACAGAGCTTATTGCTCTTTCCTTGAGTTTAAGTTTAAAGTTTTCTACTGAGCGCCGTAGATTTATGGAAGTTTATAGAAGTGAGCCACTTGTGTTTTTGCGTTTTCAAAATTACAAATGCTTAAGAACAAAACACAATCCACATCTAATATACAAACAAAGACTGGACCTAGCCAGAACAAACCAGACTAGCAGCAGCGAAAAGAAAATAGACAGAAATCTTGTTTCACACAAAAAATTGTCTTCAACCAGACAACACAGGAGGACTAAGAAGATCAAGAAGACTGACGTTTAGTTCTTTGATTTCTTAAATGCTTACGAGCCAATCAATGACCTGATCAATGTTGGTAGAGTTCTTGCAGGATATCATGAAACAGCAGACTTCTCTATCTGTAAGCGAGTTAAGCCCCCTGAAATCACAATGGAATTTAAAAAAAAAATAATCAGATTCGAGCTAAATATTGATGCCTTTTTGGAGTGTTCAGATAAAGAAACAACTTATACAATCGGTTAAGGCTTCTTTGGACAGAGCTCCAGGTTTGGCAATTTTGTTTCCAAGAACCAGGAGAGGGAAACCGTTAAGCGAAGTCTTGCTCAACAAATCATGGATTTCACTTTTCGAGGCACTTAGGTTGTCAGGATCTGCAGCATCAACAACATACATGAACAAAACTGTGGGGGATATAAAGAGAACAGAAACTTTAGAATAAGATCCTTACACAATCACAGAAAAAGCGCTGGCAATAACGTTCCCACATGCTGCAAAATCTTGGTTGACCACCAAGATCCCATTGTTTGATTGTAACATTTCCTATGGTCACTTCCATCATGTTAAACCCGACCTGATAAATAGGAGAAGAAGAATCTCTTTATGCTATTCCAAAAATCTGAGTATCCATGTTTTTTCTTAAAGACGATTTATGCAGTGTAACTTACCGTAGGAATCATTATTCACTATATCCACCAGTCTAAACAAGAAAAAGATGAGTGTAAATAACAGATCCCGAAGTAGATGGAGAGTTATTGAAGATAAAGGGCATGACAGCACAAGAAGCTGCTGCAGGGAAGTTCTATCACACACCTCCTTTTTCCGAGTCTCCTCCTCAAACCAGGGGTGGCTGATCAAATGCGACACAGCCGGACTCACTTATGGTACCACTACAAGAAAGAGCGGCTTTTCTAACGAATTATTTACGACGATTTGTAGTCGTCGTAAATTTACGACGACATTACGTCGTTCAAAAAATTCGTCGTAAATTCGATTCCTCGTAAAATCGTCGTAATATTTCGTCGTAATGTTGTCGTAAAATTTACATCGATAATACGAGGAATTGTCCTCTATCTTGTAATTGACGTAAAATCGATGTAAATGTGATGTAAATTTTATTTCGACGTAAATTTGATGTAAATATGCAATGGTAATATGTTGGTAACCAAACAAAAAATCTATATATACCCTTTCTTCTCTCATTATTCCATCAACCCAACAAAACATATAAAGACACAAATTTTTTGAGTCTTTGAATGTTTAAGTAAAATTTTTAGTAGTTGAAATTTATATCAAATTTCAAAAACAAAAATTCAAATATTTGTTTTTGAAATGGCATGCAGAACATTCACAAACAGATGACAAAATGACTCACCCGTCTGACGGGAAACCTTGGAAACATTTTAACACCGTACATCCAGACTTTGCTAGGTCTAAGCGAAATGTTTATCTTGGTCTTTGCACTGACGGGTTTAGTCCATTTGGTATGTCTGGTAGGCAATATTCATTATGGCCTGTGATTCTTACGCCATATAACCTTCCTCCAGATATGTGCATGCAAAGAGAGTTTTTGTTTCTAAGTATATTGGTCCCTGGTCCAAATCACCCGAAGCGGGCCCTTGATGTGTTTTTGCAACCCCTCATACATGAGTTAAACCAGTTGTGGCATGTTGGAGTACGAACATATGACTGTTCGAGTGGTAAAAATTTTACGATGCGAGCGGTGCTTATGTGGACAATAAGCGATTTCCCAGCATACGGAATGCTATCAGGTTGGACAACGCATGAGAGGTTATCATGTCCTTATTGTCTTCATAGGACTGATGCATTTCAGCTTAAACATGGTAGGAAAGCCTGTTGGTTTGATTGCCACCGTCGGTTTTTACCACCAAACCATCAATATAGAAGAAATAGGCGTTTGTTTATAAAGAACAAATTGGTTCGTCTCCCTCCACCAGTGTACCTAATTGGAGTAGAGCTTGAAGCACAAATAGATCATTGGGATGGACTTGAAACGGTCCCCCGAGGAGGAAATTGGCACACTCCAGCGAATATGCCTGAAGGATATGGGGTTCATCATAATTGGCACAAGAAAAGTTAGGTCAGTGAATCCTCAAAGTTATTCTTAAAGTTACAAAGTTATACACGATGATGTTGGGATCACAAGATGCGAGTTATCACAAAGGACTATTATACCAAAACGGTTGGTTTCAAGGTTTACAAGGTGGATGAAGAATTGAAGAAATGGGTACAAGTTCAGTCTGGGGGAGACAATGCGCTTGTGATGGCTACCGATACTTGTTTCTCCGTTTCCGCTCATGAATTTAACGGATATCTCCCAAACTCTATTTACTTATCTGATGAGGACGAATATAAGATTAGTATGTTCAAACTAGACGAGTGTAGTATCATGACATCTTCGGGATATTCACAGACTTGTTTCCAAATGTTTGTTCCTAGGTTTCACTGAATCTTGTTTAGTGTCAAAGCTATTTTCTATATACTAAGAATATCAATCGTCTAATAAATAAATAAAAAGTACCTTTCATCTTTATTTTTGGTATATCAAACAAAAAAATGCAACATGTCTATTTATTGGTATTGTGTTGAGGCATTAAGATGTTTTAGGCACTGCATCAGATGAATGATGAGCCATGTCTGAACGAATTATTGGAAAGAAACTACTTGCTCTATATCCCAAAGCCATGTCTGTACAAAGTCAAAACATAAACTGATAAACACAAACCCAAGTGTTTTGGTAGTCAAGAATTGAGGATTGATTTGATTTTGAGATGATTAAAGATAAATGGTTCGAGCAGTTATGTACTGTATATTTGTATGATGAAGCAGTAAAAATAAGAGAAAATTGCTGAATGGGTAGTTTTTAAGTTTTAAAATAGAGGAATATAATGTTTTGAAAACCTTGGAAAGATAGGGCTGTTTTTACTGTTTGTCTTCCCACAAGGGCCCTAAGGCAATTTTTATTTTCAAAATTGCCATTATCGAAGTAAAAAAACTAAAAATTTCTGATTAAATCCGATTTGGTAAACCGATTACAAAAAATTATAAACCGAAGTCCAATTATCATAAACCGAAGTAAAACCAAATGTATAATTTATCGACACCCCAACATTTAAATTAAAAATTAAATTTGGGATCCACATCTGGACGTAGTCCATCTAGCATCTCCGGCAATCCATCTCCGATTAGCTATCCGATTGACCGTTGTAATGGCGTGGAAAGTAAAAAAATCGTTAAGGCGCAACAACACCGTGCCTCCGGTGTCGAGGTGAGTGCTCCGGAGTAACTCGAAGACAGCTCCGACGGACCACTCGCCCATACTGCCCATGCCACCGCGACGGAGTGACCACCGGGTTGAACATCCCATTCACACGAGTCGTCAAAATCCACGCCGGCGGTGTTGATCCAAATTACAATTCGCTCCTCTTCTTCTAGAATGGTCTGCTCAGAATTCTAAAAGTAAGTTACGTTTATGAACTTCGACCTTGTCTTAACTGTACTGGCGGTTTGTAACTCAAATTACGATTGAAACGGGGCGCCTGATTGGCCTGATATATTTATTAGCGGTTATGAACTCTAGTACTTATGTCTATATATTGAATTCAAACGGTTAGATTACTCTTATATCATCTAGAAACAGTTATAGAAGTTTATATAGGAATCCATACGAATAGGGTAGTTTTTCTCTGTTCTCTCTTTCCAACTCCTTCAAACTCTTTTCCCTCAAACTTTTCCCCTGGGTTTGCATTGAACTGTTTATCCAGAATATTATATCTTTCCTGCATTTCGGAATTGTTTTTTGGTTCAAATACAGGAATGGAAGACGGAGGACCTTCGAATACAGGCATGGAAGATGGAGAATCGTCAAACAATATTTTGGAAAAAATACCAAAAAGGGTCCTCGGTGATGGTTGCTACCCCGTTGGTGCTCGGTTGAACATATATTCAAAGGCCAATGTCATTGGCCTCCTTGTCGAGGCGTTAAAGGGTACTGAAGATCTTGAGAAGCTACTTCATTCCCAGTTTGGGAAGTTATTCCATCTACCTGTTGCAAGATGTTGCAACAGCGCCAAACTAGTCCATGCCCTTCTATCACGACAACTTGTGACCACGAAGAAACACGAGATTTGGTTCCTCTTTGGTGGACAGCCTCTGAGATATTCGGTACGGGAGTTTAAGGAAATCACTGGATTGAATTGCAATCCCGAACCTGATAGCACAGAAGAAGAAGAAGATGTCGGAAAGACAGGAATCTGGAAAAACCTGTTCGGAAGAGCGAAGGCTATGAACGTGTTTGATGTGCTTGAAATGCTAAAGGACCCGGATCTACCCCGATGGAAACGGCTTCCATTGGCCCTAATCGTTCTTGTCGACGGTGTTCTGTTTTGCAATAGCAAAAATCTGGCCCTCACCGAGAAATACGTTGCGATGTTGACTGACTTGGATAGGTTCATGCTGTATCCATGGGGGAGGGTATCCTTTAACAAAACAGTATCTCGTTTTTAAGCTCCGAAGGCAATCACGGATGCCGAGAAAAGGGAGAATCCTGTAACACGATTGCGCCGTCAACTTAAACAGAAAACCAGTGCATGCTATGGATTCCCTCTATCACTACAACTCATGGCCTTCCAATGTATACCAATGTTGGTTTCCAAAATTCCTCAACCTGATAACTTGAAGACATTCGTTGAAGATCCCGAAGGCTGTCAAAACGTTATCACACTATTGCATCTTGGGGACATACTTGCCGTGGAATCCGACCCTCTGGTAAATTATTTGTAGTATTATATTTGGTACTATTTGTAGTCTTATTTTGTAGTACTTGTCTTAAAAGATCAGTGCTCTGTCATTTTGGTTGGTAATTTTGCAATTGTTTTTTTTGTCTTAGTTGTCTGTCAAACAGATGGTAGTGGATGATGGTGACAATGACCAACATAATGAATTGCGTTGGGGAGATGAGGTAGAGGATGCCGAAGTTGCATTCATGCAGGAACTCATGGCCGAGGGGTACAAATTCACACCTTCGGATTTTGCAGTGGCACCGGCACCTATCGTGGATATTAGTGATGCAGAGGACGAGGTTACCAATGAACAGGAACCTGAGCCATCCACCCGACCGAAGAAGAAACTGAAAACTCATCAAACTGAAAAACGTAAGATGCAGAGGAAGAGAGGCATGGGCAAGAACTCTTCTAATCTATCGGAAGATGAAACCCCTGAAAGTGGACAGTTTAAAGATCTTAAAAGATGGATAGTAAGTCAGAATAATTTGCTCCTTCGTAAGATTAAGACAGAGTTGGACAAGAGATTGGGCGTATACCAACAGGACGAAGAAGATGACGATGTACACCAGTCAAAAGAAGATGGGGAACAGGATGACGAAGGACAGAATCCAAAAAAGATGGTCAAAAATCGGATGAAGACGAAGCCGAAGATGGAAGTGAAGAAGGAGGTTATGATGGTGCACAGTCAAGCGTACGCCATGATGATGGTGTACACCCCGAAGATGGTGTACACGAGAAAGAAAGAGATGCTGAAGAAGGGACCTCTACTTACTACGGCGGCGACCATTATTCTCCCAGGGACCATGCGTACTTGAAGACTCCAGAAGCTCCGACGAAGAACCCTGAACCTGAACAAGACAATTCAGGAACAACTCGTCCACCTCCTTACTTCGTCAATCTGGATGAAGATCCACCTTCTGGCCTCAACGAGGTGAGCTAATTGTTTAGTCACCAGCTGACTCTATTAAGTTTCATAACGTGTGTGTATTGTGCTATGTTTTTTATGAATTATTCAGGTGGATGGTGGTAGAACAAATTTGGTGTCAGGCACCTTAGTAGTCTACAAACCTCAGACTCCTCACCCATTGAGCTACGCATATAAGAAAAATGAAGCGCAGACAGATGCGCAGGATGCATAGGTCAGACAATAAAGTTGTTCATATGATATACATGTGTATACAGTAGTGTTTAGGTATACGATAGGTATACGATAGGTATACGATTGATATGTTATACGCTCTATTGTTACAGTGGTGTGTAGGCTGTGGCTAATGAGGACGACTCAAATGCAGGGAAAGATTACCATACTGCACCTGAGGATGCAAGTGATGCTTCGCAGAAGACCCCTTGTACTCCAAAACCCCCACAAGAAGTTGAGGGATCGTCTGGTGTAAAGAGAAAAAGTGGAGGAACAGGAAGAGGCGGAAGAGCTAGAGGAAAACGCGCATGCGTACGGTCGGACAAGATTCGAGATATTTACACCGCAGATTCAAAGGTGAAAGCTCTATTTGTATCCAGATCGAAAGCTGCGTACAAACCACTCGAAACAGTGGAACAAGACCACTTCAAGGCATTCCAGGAGTTATTATCGCGTGAAAGAAACATGTAAGTTATTTCGTATCGAAAGCAATTTATCCTTAAACATTCATTGTTATCAATTACCAATTGCTCTCATTACAGCGACTTTTGCATTGTCACTGGTCATACTGTCAACAATCAATTCTTCCTACAAATTGCGAAGCCTACTGAGTGGGTTAACACGATGGTAAGTATATAGTTAGTACTTACTCAATCTTTAATTATCTGTAATATATGTTATTTATGTTTTGTTATTCGTCAGCACATGCAAGTCATCAAGGAATAATTTCTAACAACTTCTCAAAGAACCACCTCCACGTCTTGTCAAACTCTGCATCGACAACGGCGAACGCTATTGGAAATACCTGGTAATTAGAATCTTGTCCACTGGCCGTTAATAGACAACCCTTATACTTACCAGTCAGGTGAGTCCCATCAACAACAACTACTTGTTTCAAATGTTTCCATCCATATATACACGCAGCCAATGCCATAAATACGGACTTAAACCTGGTAATACATTTTCCATCTTTTTCATCTCTCTCGCTCTCGGTTATCAAATGCGTTATGGTGTCGGGGTTAGCATACTTGAGCACATGGAGGTAAATCGGTAATAATTTGAAAGAAGTCTCCTCTGTTCCGTGAGCAGAGTATATAGCCAGCTCCTTAGCTTTCCAGCATTTCCAGTATGAGGCTGTAATATTATATTCGGAGAGAACAATCGCAGGTAGCTGACTCGCACGTGACCCAACTATTGCATTCTCATACTTAGACTTCAGGAGAGCCGCCATGACTTTAGAAGTAGCATGTTTAGAAAATTTCTTTCTTGTATCCGGGTGGCATGTATGCTTCAAACACGCCTTCCTCACCTCATACAACACCGACTCGCCAACTTGACACCCCAACACTCTCCAATCACATATCTTTGATGGACATTCGGCGACTGTGTACTTCTTCGCATGCTTTTTGAATTCGAACGTCACTATATTCTTCAGCGCATTGATGGCCAACGTGATTTTAAAGTGTTCCTTGTTCCTGAACTTTTTCCCAACCCATATCTCTCCATCTTCATTTGACAAATCAAGTTCATCGAAATCCCCTCCCATTTCATCAGAGACTGGTGCCACACTCGGAAATCCATATAGTTATGTACGTTTAATCGCTTTCTTCAGCTCTGCACCACCATTCTGACGCCCCCAACTGACATCACCTGTCGAAGTCTGCACAAAATCATCATCATCTCCATGGGGAGCCAGAACATTCTCACATACAGTCCTCTTTCTTCCAGGAAAATGAATAGGACTCTCCGTTAAGACAATGGAGTTGTCCATATGGTTTGAATCACTCGGCTCACTTCCGCGAGTACTTCCACAACCCCCTGAACTACCAGAGTCATCCTTATCCTCATCAAATCCAGGTTTAGAATGGAAACCCTTACCATCTGCTAGTACGTAATCATTCCACCAGTCAAAATCATAATCCAGATCATAATCATCATCAGAGCCGTGTGCGTCATCGTCAACATCATCAGCTTCCTTCTCTTCCAAATCTCTCGCCTCGTCTGATTCCTGGGACATTTTTAATTCCAACTCAGGGTGGTCAACAGAGACAGCGTGACTTGGAACATCAGGTTTTACATTAACGGAGGTGTTAGTGCTGGCCTTAGCCTCTACTTTCTCTGATTCCTGGGACATTTTTAATCCCAATGGAGGATGGATAACAGAGACAGCTTCAAGTTGTACACCTTTGGAGGTGTTCATTGCGGCCTCTGCCTCTACTTTCTCGGCATGTGCTATCAGCAAACAATCATCGATATCTTCATCATCTGCTTCATCACGGGTTGACTAGACTCTGCCGAAGAAGAGGTTATGAAGTTTGTTGGCCCTAAGAACTTTCGCCGTTCCCTCGCTATTTGAACTTCAAGACTTTTCTTCCGTTTCAATCTCACCATTTTACCATTTACTGACTCCTTGAATGTGACAAATAAATTCACAGACTTGTCAGACTTATGCAGCGAAAGGAAGAATTTGTACTCTCGAGGAGTAACTATTACACATGGACAACTCCCATCACCATTAAGCTCAGCTAGAACATCATCAAACCAGTAGGAAATCTCCACCGAAACAACTCTCGGGTCTAATCCGAACTCATGCGCAATCAGATTTCTCAAATCATCTGGTCCGGACACATCTTTGCAATTTATGCACCTTCCACGACGAGATATGTCCATTTTGAAATCCCATTCTCCTGTATAGTACCTTATCCATGTTCCCGCCATAACAAGAATGAACGCATCCACTGCAATTCGCGAACACCATATCTAAAAAACTACTGACAAATAGCGGACACCAGTTCGAAAAAAAATTCGAAAATAACAATGACAAATCTATGGGTGTACAATAATAGGATTAAGTAACTAACCGTGGTTGTTGTCCTTTTGATCATCGCATAATTTCCCCTTCAATTTCAACATCTTCTGGAAAGGAAAACTAGGGTTTCTAATTTGGTTAGGATACTTTGTTTCTTATTTTAACCAATTTATCTCCATTATCTCTAATTAACCACAATTTTTCCCGCCAAAATTAAAAAGAGAATGGGAAGGGCAGTTTTGCGTGTAATGAGTTGGGTAGTTTCCGGCCCATAACAGAGGCCCAGTAAGGTGATAGACAAGACTTTTTAGGGTCTCAGGGCTATCAATCCCCTTGTCAAAGTAGCACAAAGAGGTTTATCAATCCAGATGTGGTGTTAGACACTAAACTATATGATCAAGTTCTTAATTCAAGCAAACAAGATTGGTTTTGATTATCTAGAGACAACTACAAATTTAAACAGGATTAAAGACTAATGAAATGATTAAACAAGAACTAAACAATTACAAATGGTGAGAATGTATGAATGATGATGAGAAAGGTCTTAGACATGATAGTGGATTAGGGTGCCTTCAGTGATAAACTAATAAGCTAATGAATCATATGATCAAGCAAACCATTCAACAGAAACATCTTTAATTAAGTTAATCCTCTCATGAATGTATTAACTCCTATGCTAAAACAGTTTCCAACCCAATCATCATCGGTGAAACATGAGTTAACAAGCATTAAGAATCAGTTTAACTGTCATTTAAGCATATAAACAATCATTCCCATGATGAATCACACTTAAACCTCTACAACCTTGGTTCAGGCATTTCATCAAACACTTTTGGTGCATGAAATGCCCAGAATCTAGACCACATATGATTTGTATGGATCTAGCATAGAGAACAAGTTGTAGAGAATGGAATATGCATGATCTAACCCTTAAGCTCACTAATCTACCACTTAAGCACCCTAATTTACATATCTAAGACCTTAATATGGGATTACTCACTAATCATGATCAACACACTAAATCCTTTGCAAGATGTGTTGTTAATCATGATTAGAAGTGTGATTTGATGATAAGAAATGATGGAACAAGATGAAAAGAAACTTCAAATCGATATTAAACACTAAAAACAAGGTGTATCAAGTGGTTTTTCACCAAAGAGGAAAAGAAACTAAAAGTAGATAAAAGGTGTTCTCCAAATTAGGTCTAAAAACAATATATAGGAGCCGGGTCAACCCGGAACAAACCGGGTACTGACCCAGTCTTGGTGGGTGAAGATGGGTTTGCCACGGTCAAGTGTGTTCTTGGTGTGGCCGTGGCAACCTGACCGTGTCAAAGCTTGTTGCGTGTTCTTGGCTGCATTTTGATGCCACGGTCTAACAAGCTTCGTCCAAAACCCGTGGCAGATCATCGTGCCAAACGCCGAAGATGTGTAAAAGTTGCCACGGTCAAGCCCCAAACTGTGGCATTCAGACCGTGTCAAAACCCGCATGCTTGTAAAGTCCTTTCCAGCCAAGTATTTGTTTGCCATGGTCAAGTCCCAGACCGTGGCATGAAGATCGTGCCATTCGCCGAAGGTTTGCAGAAGTTGCCACGGTTAAGTCCTGGACCGTGACATTCGGGCCGTGTCAATCGCCGAAGGTTTGCAGAATTCCTCCCAGCCAAGTGTTTGTTTGCCACGGTCAAGTGTAGACCGTGGCATGAAGATCGTGTCATTCGCCGAGGGTGTGCAAAAGTTGCCACGGCCAAGTGTGGACCGTGGCATTCCATCGCGGCATGTTTAACTTAGTCATTCAGTGCTGTCTGGACCACTTCGCATTCCGGAGAGTGTAACTCACGATATACTTGTCCGAATTGAGTGATTCCGGTTGCAGAGGACAGAGGACTCATATATCTCCAACTTTGGTCAAAGAAGCTTCGGTGCTTGGGAAGTGGAAGGCTTCCTGGAGGGTTCATCTTTGCAATGCATTTACACGATCAAAGAGAGCCATCTATACATGTGTCCATTCCCGAGACCGTATCTTCCTGATCATAGCTCCGAATCGAATGATCTCGGATGTTCTGGAAATAAAACTCAAATTTCTCTGATTCTCATGAAGGCCCCGGAAACTGAATCGGCCTGGAAGTGCACCGTCCTTCGCATTCTTCAGAGCTTATCGGCTTAGTCCAATACAGCAGCGAGACAGGGGTTTCTTCCCACGAGATTAACTCTCTGCTCACGCGTCCGAATTCCATGATTCCACTTGCTATGAATCCGTGATTCAATACTCTCCAACTTCTATGAAGCACCCGACATCTGAATCGGACCGGAAGGTTCCCCGGACAGGCGATTTCGGAAACGAGTCTGCACCCAGAGATTTTGGCCGATACAATCCACTCGCGGTACGCGTTTTAGCCGATAATGTCTATCCGCGGTACATGAAAATGGCCGGTAAAAACCTCCCTGGTCCGCGAGAATGGCCGATAACCTCCAAAAACACAAGTTCACCATTTTTCAAGGCTTGATCACCATTCCACCTCCTGGATTCATCTTTTCAGCTCCAAATAGACCTGATAAACACTCAAAACATGCAAAGACTCATTGGGACCTAATGCATCTCCTAAGTTCTAAAACAAAACCCTAAGGACCTAAAATGCATGGAATAAAACATGATTTGGAATGAATTAAGCAACCTAAATGATGCAAATTATGAACATATCAACTCCCCCACACTTGTCCTTTGCTTGTCCTCAAGCAAACAAGAACAAATGAGAGAGAGAGGTTGAATGCATGGGAGTTCACATTTCCTTTTTGAGAGAAGTGATCACAATGAGAATTCAAGTTCATGCTCAATTATGCAATGCAAAGCCATACTCAGATATATATCAACTCAACAAGGAATCTCCACAAGTTATTCTTTCTCTCAACTCTTTCACATTCATTAAGCTTTTTACCAAGTGGATCAAATGATGCATTGTTTAAACAAACATAGTTTGGCTAGAGTGAGGTTATGAGACTAAAATGATCTCATCAATGCCTGAGTGGGTTCAATGCAGCAAAAAGATCTCTCTATGAATGACCAAACTTTGGCAGAATGCTAAAGGTAAAAGGCAACCTATGCATACAAGGGCAAAGACTCATCCCACCCCACACTCTACTCAAAGTTTCCTCACTTGCTCACTTTTCACACTCATTCTTCTCTCACTAGGGGACTCTCTTTTCTTTTTCATACACAAGTCTTGGAGTTCAAACTTTCAATAGCTCTTTTTCACTTTCTTTTGTAACCTCTAACCTCTTTTTTTTTCTTTTTAAAACATTTGAGCTCTTTGGCTTCTTTTCTTTTCACTTAGAGGCTAGACTCTTTCTTTTCAAAACACTAGAGCTCACTTTCTTTGACTCAAAACTCCAAGACTGATTTCCTTTCTTTTTCATTCCCCTAGTTCTCACCATTCTCCTTTCATTTCCACTCATCTCTCCTTTTTCCACTCACCAACATGTATTCCCCCACACTTAGTTCTTGCCAAATCTCTCAGCTCCTTGATGAAGGAACTTAGCACTCAATGAGACTTGCCCTTGTCGCCCTAAACCTAACACTTTCTGCTAAGTTTGGTCCAAGGTGGCCTCTCAATCACACACAAACAATTGGCTTGAAAGAAGGATGGGTTCAGGGTGAGGAAAACTGATCTATTATGCAGATTCAGCTATTTGAGCTAAGGAAGAGGATGGTAAAAACAGGATTCTAGCTCAAATATGTATATT